CGGCGCTGCGGGACCAACCCAGCAGCACCCCAGCTGCTCTGCCCCAGGCGTGTCCGATTCAGCCACTGCTGGTCAGTTTCAGCAGCGGCTGAATCTGGACGCCAGTTCCGACTTACATACAGATTCAACTTAAGAACAAACCTACAGTCCCTATCTTGTACGTAACCCGGGGACTGCCTGTACTTTCAGAAGAGTTCTCTTTGTGTAAATGTTTTGGTACAGATTAAATAAAGACTTTACATCATTAATAAAACTTATTGCTGTCTGACTAGTCAGTTTCAGCAGCGGCTGAATCTGGACGCCAGTTCCGACTTACATACAGATTCAACTTAAGAACAAACCTACAGTCCCTATCTTGTACGTAACCCGGGGACTGCCTGTACTTTCAGAAGAGTTCTCTTTGTGTAAATGTTTTGGTACAGATTAAATAAAGACTTTACATCATTAATAAAACTTATTGCTGTCTGACTAATATGACTGAATTACAGTCAACAGTTAAGGCTTGTAAAAGAATCTTCCTTTCATGAGACTGCTGGTTCCATAGCATCATGTAATCTCATGAGCAGGATATTGGATAGTATCTAACCTCTGGGGGAAAAAAAAGGAAATACAGCTTCAGTAGCAGCTAACTTACTTTCATTATAATAATAATAATAATAATACTTACTTAAATAGCTCCTTTTTATCTGAGGATCTCAGTTTTGTTTCAGAACCTCTTTGTGGTGGATAGGGAGGTGTATTAGTCTCACTTTATGTATGGGAAAACATGTTGGGGGAAGTGAGATGCTTAAATCCTCCGAAGATCTGAACTGGAGAGAGAAAACTGAGTACCATGCCTTTGCCTTAATTCATGACTGTCCTTTCCCCTAATATGCCCTAATAAAATGGAACTGACATTCTCCTCCCCCTTCCTAATTCTCATTGGCATCCTGGTTTTATCAACAGTTTTATCCTTCCCAACAATGAATACTGGGGACAGAATAGCACAGGTTTCAGTGTTTAGTGAATATTTTAGAAGTAGTTTTCATTTGATATATTGTATGTGTTTAGCCACACTTGTAAGGGTCTCACCTTTTTCTGTCTGTCCTTTTCTCTTTTAGCGTCTTGCTCGCACTGGAATAATAGTTACCACTAGTGAGGCCATCTTGCTGCAGCTGGTAGCTGATAAAGACCATCCAAAATTCAAAGAAATTCAAAACATCATTAAGGCAAGTGCGCCAGAGTCAGGGCTCCTCTCCAAAGTATAAAGAGGGCTTTCTGAAAGAGCAATATATTGTCATCTTTAAGGAAGAACTAAAGCTGTAAGCAGACACATGCACACACATTCACACAAACTTTAGTAGAAATATAAACCTAAAAATTGGCATATTTGTGCTTGCCTTAGAAAAATTTGTCTAGGTGCCAGTGTGCTCTGTTCAATCACAGCTGTCAGACATTGAATACCATAAGATGCTTTTATTGTCAGATGCTTTATTATTTATTTAAAAAAAAAAGTAACAGAGGTGCCTATTTGTACTGTACCCACTGATTGTTTCACATCTTGAAAAAGTGCACATTTCTGTGAAATCTCTATTGATTGCTCACTTTGTAAAAGTGTTCTGTGATATTCTGCTTCACTTTTGTATTGATGGAGGTAAAAGTGATGTGGTAATATGATTTAACTTTGTGCATAAATTAAACTATTTTAATAGAAAAGTATTTCAATAGCATAAAATAGATGGACTACATGTTTACATTCTGTCTTTTAGAATAAAAACTAAATGCTTTACTTATTCAGTAGACAAACCATGTAGCTCAAGCAACAATCTAGGTTTAATTATTTTGGGTAGCTGAAGTGGACTACATTGATTCTTGATTATTCCAGACTTTTGGCTCTTTAATCCTGTTTTAATGTTCCGTATTTCAACTAAAAGTTCCAGGGGGAAGCAGTCTTTGAGTTACAGCCGCTTTCAAAATTATAAAGAATCTGTCAATTTGTTAATGAAATGATATAAGTAGTGTACAGTAAATCACAGATGGGAGACTACTAGCATTTAAAATTGAAAAAATCTAAACTTTTCAGTTTCATTTACTGAAGGCTAATTATTTCTAGAAACATCCTTGGATTTTTTTAATCCTTGTGTGACTAGATTTAATAAATCCATCTGGTTTCTGCTTTAAGCCAAGCAAACCCTGAAAAAATAATTAACGTTTCAGGTCTGTTGCAGACTTCTGAACTACTGATGTTTAAATTTGATTGGAATCTAGTCTAAAAGTGTAATTTAAAAGTAGCATCTACTTTGTTGCTTTTGTAGCTGAAATTAAACTTTAACATGATTGTTCCTCTTGAAGGCACCTTCTTCATGTTCAAATGGATTAAGATTGTTATAACATGTTTACAACAAGAATGTAACTTTGAAAAGCTTTTTTCTTATTTTTTTAAGTAGATTAAACAAAATATTGAACAATGATATTTTGGGAATAAAACTAATTACAGTAAATGTATTATTGAAATGATTTATTTTCCCCCATAAGATGGCTCTAAAAGAATTGTGTAACCTTTATATGTTTAAAGCAAATAAAATGTTAACATTTATTGTCTCTCTTACTCTTGTGGTATTTGCAAAAGGAAGAATCTTAAACATGATTTTTACCATAGACCTTATTTTAGCTTGTGCAGCCTGTAAAATCCCCATAGACGTCATAGAAATTTTGTGAAACAACTAAGGGCAAAATATGTCCCAGTAGCTTTGCTTATGTTACTGAGGAAACCTATTTTATGCTCTTAATTTGAAGAATGAACACCACTCTCTTGTGACCCAGAGCAAGAAAGAGAGAAGGAAGGAAGAGTTGAAGAAACCATTATCCATATCACTGACCTACTTTTACATTTTTTTTTGCTGCTATATTAATCATGCTGTCTAGCATAGTAAAGTCCACTTATATAAATCAACAGATGTGCCCAATACTATAAATATTTCATGAAATATTATTCTGTTCCTTCAGTAGTCATACATCTGTATTACCTGTGGTAGTGGGGAGGGGGAAATTTCCAACTATCTTTTTTGCATATGATTTTTTGGACCAATATTACCACTTTCCAGAATGCCATATTTTATGTTAGAAACATGAGCAGTTATTTGATTGTTGGTAAAACAAATTACTTGTTCTGATAGTATTCTGTGAAATTCATTAGAAAACCAAAAGCTCCATTGGAGCCATGCTGCCAGGATGAGCCATGAGGACCCAAAAGTCTAAGCATGTTTCCTCAACCTCCAGCAGATCCCAGAGAACCATAAGGTTTTTGGATCTGGGGCAGAGAGTGCTACTTACCTCATCTGGTATCAGGCAAGTTGGTGAGCCTCAGTCCTGCTGGCCACTTTCTTGGTGGTGTGGCAGCTCCCAGTGGTAACTCTGCAGTATATCTCCCCAATTCTCTCTGCCTCTAGTGGCCACTCTTAATATTACGTCCTTCCTCCCTGTCCTCCCTCCCTCCCTTTCCATGATATGGAAAACAGTCTCATTCCTGGCATAGCCAGACCCTTACCTTACTTTAAGTTAGGATAAGAGGAAGCTGCATGCCAAATTTGGTGGTCCGAGCTCTTATGTTCAGGAGGAGTTCTTGAATAAATGAACTCAGACAGACAGATGTGCATTTCTTAAATATATAGATAAAATATAAGCTAAATATATTTAAATATAAGCTAACAATAGTCCAGGCATTTTCATAATTTTCTAATAGTCCTTGTATTAGACATGTAAAAATAACATATTATCCTTATTAAAACATATTATCCTTATCCTTATCCTGACTTAATACTGCTATCTTTTGTCATAAAAAGTCTCGGAATATAATTACTTTTAAAAAGGTATAGCTTTACCTAAATGACTGACTATGAATTAATGGGAGAGTGTGGCTACAAAATTACCTTCCTAGATGTTCATTAATTGGGCTGCATAATGCCTTTATTCTAAGGATTACTTAACTGTATATCTGAGTAAATATATAGGATTGTAATAAGTAGCCTTACTGACAGACAAACCTGACAATTAGAATAATATATATGAAAATATTTCACAGTGATGTGGTCCCTGCCCTGATGAGCTTATACATTCATACCTATTCAATAAATCTGCTGCCTTAATGATTATCAAGGCTTGATGTGATCTCTTTTGCAGAGTATGTAATGTTTGTCTGAGGGCAAATCCACCAGTAGGTACATACACCACAGACCAGGTGAGCAGCTTCAAACTGCAGTTAACTGGCATCATGCAGACAATAAATGCAGAGTTATAGGTGGGCATTTTGATACAAAATGGCCATAGCTTCTATTTTGCTGCAGAAGAGAATGTGACCCAAAAGTGAATTTGAATTAATGATTTCCGTGAGAGTTAGGTGCCCAAATACCTTTGAGGATCTGAATCTTAGTGTGTTATAGAATCATATAATGCTAGAGCTGAAAGGGGCTTTGAGAGGGCATCAAGTCCAGTCCCCTGCTTTCATTGCAGGATCAAGCCCCAACTAGAGTACTCCGATAGATGTCTATCACTTCTCTTAAATATCTCCAGTTACGGCAGTTCCACAGCCTCCCTAGGCAAACTGTTTAACCACCTTTACAGTTAGGAAGTTTTTCCTAATGTCTAACATAAACCTCCCTTGCTGCAATTCAAGCCCATTGCTTCTTGTTCTATCATCAGAGATCGAGAACAATTTTTCTCCCTCCTTCTTGTAAAATACCCTTTTAGATATTGTATGGTCTCAACCAAGAACACTGGGCAACTATCATTTTGTCTTTTTCACATTTACAAGCAGGAAGTAAAGGAAATACTCTTTGCAATACAACTATTGTAATATCTCTAGAAGTGTATTCATAGGTAGGTATTTTCAAAACTTATTTTTGTTTTTAGGAACAAACTTACAACTTTTCAATAGTCTTCAATACTCACCACTTGCAGATATATCTACGTTTAATAAAAATGGAGGAGATACTTGTTAAATTTGGCAGAGCTAAAATTATCGCTATCAACTTGAGTGTGCAGCCTGCTTTTCCTGCACACTGAACAATTTATTGTGAGTTATCCTGCTGCCAGTGAGACTATATCTCTTTGCTTATAAAAAGCAAACGGAGTAGAACTGGAAAAATAAGATTGTGAATAAATCTAATGTCCTGGGTCTCATACAAACACATCCTAGTTAATATTTTGTTTCACAACTATGCAAACTAGTCATGGTAAGCAATTTTCTAAAGAATGTTGCTCTCTATTTCATAAATAAGCTTTGATTTTTGCTAATTTGTTCAATATTTGAAATTATTCTACAGGTAAGTTTTATAATGGGTCTCACTAATGTATTTGGACGGATTGATGAGCTGCCTGTAGTCTTCAAAATTGCCTCTTCATTCCCTTATGTAGATGTTGTTGTGCCCTATATGGAGTGCCTGGGGAGGAATCCTACCCAGCAGTTCACCCTGCATGGGATTGGTGTCTCACTAACTGATAACTGAATCAGCACAGGTTCCAAACAGGTACCATCTTGAGGAACTGATTGATAGCTCTGAGACAAAGCTCTTAGCCTCTGCAGATGATTTTAGTGGAGCTGAAGCTCTGGCCTGGGAAATTGAGAGCATAAAGAAGGAGACTACGTAGACAACAGGAGAAAGGGCAGTTTTAGGGTTGTAGTAGGGAGTTCATTTGTTGACATACAGTCAGTTTCTTTGACCTATAATGATGATGAAGTTTTGTTGACTCGTGGTAGGTTTTGCTTATAAACTTAACCTAGATGAAGGTAAGTGGGCTTTTAGGATTTGGATTATCTCCACAAGATCCTGGAGATAATCCTGAAGGACATTGAGGCTCAGGGGAGAAAATTTTAGACTGAAGTTTATGGTTGTATGTTGTATATTTATGGTTGAGGTTTATGGTTGTGTGTTTAATTTTTGTTACCAACAAGTGAAATCCTTAGAAGGATGCATTTTTGCTATATTAAAAGCCCGTGCTGCTTTGAGGATGGGGTAGAGATTTTGCCCATACATAGAACTTAGATTACAGGTCCTTTCCCCAAGTGGCAGTTTTGATGAGTTAATGCAGACCAAATCTGCATTCTCTGCAAAGCTTGCATGAAAGTGCAGGATAAGTGGAAGAACAGTTGTAGTGGTCAAGGAATTGATCATCAATCCTTCAGGTGCCTACTGCAGAGATGAAGTTCATTTTAAAATTAAGATATTGTAGAATACTTTAACAAATGATTTTCTCTACGCTATTAAATCAACTGCATTCCCTTCATCTTTTCCAAAAGAACAATCTTTCTTTTTTCTGGAAAAATCTGTTCTTTATGAAAAATATATTTATTGCTCACAATTCTTTTCTGCTCTAGATGTGGAGTGATTTTTTTCTCTTAATATACCTGCCATTAATTAACCACTGATATATGTCCAACTTTTAGGAAGCAAGAATCAGAATAAGTCTTCTTTTGGTTTTTTTAGATGACCAAGGTCTCATTATTTTAAGGATACAGTACATAAAGGTCAGCAGTCTAATTTCATAGTCTTTCAATTTATCATGAGTTGCAAATGCTATAGACCTGCTAAGAAAGACAATGGGAGACTATGAAGGCTAAAGTCTTAACCATTTGATAAACAATGTTATCCAAAACTTACCTAGCCTATGGAGAAATATCACTCTAAGAATTTTTCATGGCAACAACAGCAGGACTCGGCGGTGATCAGAGGCATTTGTTTAATATCTTATGATACATTACAGAGGATAAAATCTTCTAGATGTGCATAACAGATGTCTCTTACAGGTTCAGGACATTTGTTTTTTGGGGGGAAAAATGGTTTTTGACACCTGCGTATAGGCCCAGTAAATGAGCTCTATTTTGTGGATTCATTGTTAGTGTTCTTATAATAATTTTAGGACATGGGAGTTTGATTAATTTAAAGACTGATCTTTCTGAATCCTCAAGAACAGCGTCTGGAAACTTAAGAGGGGGCTATTATAGATAGAGGCTGCGTTGTCTCATAGAACTGTGATATTTATTTATTTATATTGCTCTAGCTTTTGATTACTCATTTGAGTTGTATCATAGACAATAAAGAGCTATTGAGAAAGAACTGCTACAAATAGCTGGAATCTATTAAGTATTAACATACTATAGTCAGCTTAACTGATTTGGTAATACAGCCAAGGTTGGCAGCCCTCCTCCAGCTTTTGGCTTTGCTTTAATGAAACCTTTTCATTGTCTCACAAGAAAGACAAAGCAAACAAACAAAGACAACAGTTACTATAGCATAGATGGCAATGTGTGAATGAAAAATAAGTAACTTCTCTTTTTATTCAATATTGTTTTTCCAGTAAGATATCTAGGATGCTGAATCATTTACAAACATATCAGTTTCTCTATATAGTGAAATGACTAGGCCATAGTATTCCATGTCTATCATTCTTTTTTTAGAAACTTCTTTGTTCCTTTTATAAATAACACTTTTAGAAGATTTTTCATTATTTGTAATTGTCCAAGGACAAGACTCCATTACCCTTTCTAACACTAAATAGTGTCATTAATTGCTCATGCCAAAAGGAGTAACA